AGGAGAAGTAGAGGGAGGGAGAGGGAGAGGGAGGGAGAAAGGGAGAAGGAGGGAGAGAGGGAGAGGGAGGGAGGGAGGGAGGGAAGGAGGGAGGGAGGGAGGGACAGAGGGGAAGGGAGGGAGGGAGAGACAGAGGGAGAGACAGAGGGAGGGGGAGGGAGGGAGAGAGAGACAGACAGAAATAGAGAAATGAGTGCGGGAGGGAGGAAGTATAAAGGAGAAGAAAGGGGGACAGTGAAACTATATTCGGTACATTTCTGTACAAAATAAACCCGTGCGTAATGAAGTAGGAAACGAATCAACAAAGTCTGACGAAAGCAATCGGCGTATCCGAATTAAGAAAATGCGAAGTGTCAGCGACAACAAATCCTCTTCGGGAGCACCACAGCCTCCCGGGAAATCTGATCGTCCGACAGAGCCCGATTTCACGCTGGAACTCCGCCGATTCGACTGGACTCGCCCGCCGTTTGATGGGGGCGAGGGATGCGCGCGCCCCCGGATAATGACCACATGAACCCAGTATATTGTGCGGAGTTGGCAGGTCACGTGATCACGAGATTGGAATTTGAAATCAATTAGGGTGGCTCGTTGTGTCCGCTCGGACTGGGCGGGGGAGGCTGTCCACACGCGGCGGCCTGGGTCGAATTAGCATGTGCAGTTTGTGAGGTTTTCGTCGTGTGGCAAATATGGCGTGCGTTGAATAGACAAACAGACCTCGAGAGTTGTTGTATGAAGTGGAAAGGAACTTCATTGATAATAGATCACACTTTTTCATGATCAGATGGTTGTCGTCATTAATAGGCGTTTTATGGGTGTCTTGCTCGGTAAAGTTAGTAGGCTTATTTGAATTTGTTGATTGATGTAACCAATAGAGTAGTGGCATTGCAGAATGAGAGGCCAAGATTTCCTTACCGCTCCCAGCTGTGATATGAATATTAGATTTGCATGAATAATACGAGATTCTCGGTGCACTCAGGGTGATTATCGGAGACAACATTTTTGGGTCCGTGCATTTTATTTTCATTTTTCTTCGGAACCAAATTCTTCTTGCACGGTATCTCCTTGCGATATTTCTGCCCGATGGGATATGCGATAGTTCTTGATTAACTTTCATACATAGAGGCGGTATCAGCTATCGGGCCAAATTTCAATATCAAGCAAGATCTGTCAATACCGGCGTCTCGCGTTCCTCCGTCAAATGAAGAAACTTGCGCGTCTGGTGGGAAATATATAAACTCACGCGTGCAATATGAGACGAAATGCCTTTGTAAAGTATTTGAATTTTAGATTATTTATTGGAACCAAACTCCTGAAACCGTAGCGGTGTCGGTTTTGAGCGAAGGATCCCGAATTCGAGATTTGTATAAGATGGGTCGGAGGAATTGAAAGAGAGAGAGAGAGAGAGAGAGAGAGAGAGAGAGAGAGAGAGAGAGAGAGAGAGAGAGAGAGAGAGAGAGAGAGAGTAGGATAGGGATAGGAAGAGAATGGTGATAACAGGTCTATCTATAAAAAACATTATCAGCTTCGTTGGAAGGAAAATTGAGTTTATTGTCCCACTAATGTTCACTAAGTTATACTGATACGCACGCTTAAAGTATAGATATTTTATTGCTAATAGGAATTACATTCAATACGACTAGATATAAACATCAAGATTGAATTCAGTGGTAGCTATCTCCTTTGTGTTTGAAGGTGATAGCAGGGCCGTAGTACTTGGGGTGCTTGGCCTTGCCGTAGTAGCTGACCTTGGCCACGAAGCCCTTGTAGTGGTCGGCCTTGTACTCAACCTGGTGGAGAAAGATAGTGTGATTTTTCTCTTTTTATATGAGATTCACATTTCATTCGTGTCAAAGTAGTAGTTAATAAGAGACTGATAATTACGTGTTGTTTGCGGCCATCTGGAAGGGCGACGGTGTAGGAGCCGTGCAGGGCCTTGCCGTCGGATTTCTCGTTCCTGTCGAAGTGCGTTCCCTTGTAGTCGTCGTGGACGTCGTAGTTGAAGTAGTACGGCAGAGGCTCCTGACAGGGGAGATTACAGTTAAAATTCGGTTTCAGTTAGCAACAGCATCTCAGTATTTTGATGAGAGGAGGTTGTTATTCTTATACCATGGTTTTGATAGGGGAAATATGGTACATTTATTTACAATCGAACACGAGAGCACGTTTCTACCGGATAGTAAACTGGTTCATAGACGTCCGGATACGCCGTCGCCGCACACACCACCGCCAAAATAACCGCAATCTAGGAAAAAACAGACACTAGAATCATTGTCTTTCTTATCACCGTAACTCGCTTATCACCCGTAAGCTTCTAGTATAAAATACTTCACTTCACTTGGTTGAGATTCAGAAAATATTTATAAAATTCATTTTACGTAGAACTGTTTGTTAAAAGCACACTGTCCAAAGCAACCTTGAGTAGCATTTTGATTTTGGGGAAGGTGTTTGTAGGAGCCTCGAAGTGGCAATGTACCCACCGGCATCAAGTGAGGTCTTATATATTCGCAGAAGTGAAAACCTTTTGACTTTCAGACAGACGTGACTCCCCCCCCCCCCCCCCATGCCCTCACGTCAGCTACTCTCCCACTCGGGCGGAGTATCAACTTTCAGTCACACGCGTCCATTTGTAATGTCTCGATGCACAAGGGTACGATCTGGCTGGCGTGAATATTTCACGCGCCCCGGTCGGCTTATACGCTCGCCCGGGAAGCAGAATCGCGATCCTGCTGTTGTTTATGGTCTTATTATAAAAAGAAATGGTTGCATGTATCTTGTGATGTCGAAATACCTGTAGCGGAGGTTTGTCTCTGATGATGCGTAGTGCAGAATCACGCAAACACTGAGTGTTTATGCACGCACGCGCGCGCGCACCCGCACACACTCAAACTCCCCCCCCCTCTCTCTGTCTCTCTCTATCTCTCTCCGTCTCTCTCCCTCTCTCTCCCTCTCTCTCCCTCTCTCTCCGTCTCTCTCTCTCTCTCTCTCTCTCTCTCTCTCTCTCTCTCTCTCTCTCTCTCTCTCTCTCTCTCTCTCTCTCTATCCGGCTCTCTCTCTCTCTCTCTCTCCGGCTCTCTCTCTCTCTCTCACTCTCCGGCTCTCTCTCACTCTCCGGCTCTCTCTCACCCCCTGCTTTCTGTGTGGTGCAGCGGTAGCGATCTCGCCTAGCAATCTTGCTGACCTGCGTTCGAATCCCTCGCCACCAGTGGATGGTAACCCCGGCCATTCCTTGCACACAGGGGATAATTTAGAAGCAAAATAAAACAGACAGTATGTCACACCAAGAATATCCATTGTAACAAATGGAAGCAAACTAAATTAAATTAAATTCTCTCTATTTCTCTCTCTCTCTCTCTCTCTCTCTCTCTCTCTCTCTCTCTCTCTCTCTCTCTCTCTCTCTCTCTCTCTCTCTCTCTCTCTCTCCCTCTCCTTCCTCCCTTCCTTCTTTTTTTCCCACTCTCTCTCCCTTTCGCTCTTTCCCTGTATCTCTCCCTTCCCCTGTATCTCTCCCTTCCCCTCTTCTTCCCACTCTCCCATTCTTTCTTTCTCTCTGTCTTTCTACCTCTTTGTTGTACACGCGAATCATGATGAAATTTAGTCGTTATACACTACAGTAAATGTAATGAAATTTTGAATTTGATAGCTTTGTGGAGCCCTTCTTAAAAAGCAAGCATTAATGCTTCAGGTGTTGAACTGTTGAAACTCTGATATGTGTAAATGTGAGTCAGACTTTAAATAGTTAATACACACATTGTAATGGATGAGTGGCGAGAAATGTAGTTTGTACCATTTTTTGTTTATGTTAATCTTTTATTTTTTTCTCAAACGAGAAAACGTAGTAGTTATTGTAGTTATCATCATCGTCATCGTTGATATTATTGTTCTTGTTATTTTAATGATCATAATCCTAGTCGTCTTCGTCGCATCATGCCATCATTATTACCATCATTATTATCATCGTCATTGTCATTATCATTATCACCATCAACGTCATCGTCATCATTTTTATCATTATGAATATCATTATCATCGTCATTATCACCATCACTATCATCATCACCATCACTATCATCATCACCATCATCATCACCATCATCATCATCATCATCATCATCATCATCATCATCATCGTCATCATTATCATCATCATATCTACATCAATACACCTGGTAAACATACTTTGGGTAACATCGTAATCTGACTTGAATGAATGTCTTATTGTTTGTCATTCTGAGTTGACTGGCCTTAACCTTGTGATGACAAGGTAAGAAGTGCATTATCTTAATGCGACGAAACATTTTAAAGTATCACCATTGTATAATATGAAAACTTGTCGACTTTTTTGTGTTTGAAATCAGTCTGAATGCAAAGAATCCTTCAGGCCAAATTCTTTTGTATGAGGTGTGTAAGGTAATAATTAATGGTTGCTGGTTGTTTCCATATACAAATTTTATGATAATTTTGAAACGATTTGCTTGATATGAATCATGTTACATACGTATGTAGCTTAGCAACAGTTGAGGCATAGTTGTTAAACGTTAAAAGTGGCCGAGGTATATTTTATTACACTCCATTGTTATGGCGATATTAAGACGTCACATTTATGCACTGGAGTAATTACTGGAGATCCTGTTTTTTTATACGTAACTTCCTAAATAATAGAAAATGTACATCTTGCAACTTACAACTTAAGGTGCATGATTTTTAGAGCAGATTCGGTGCCATTTATTTCTTTTGTTTTCGTTCATGTTTCTGAATATGCGGTTGTTTTGATTTTGTCAATAGTATCAAAAACATTTTCATCATTTACGTGTATTTCGAATCAGAATAACCTATAAATTCTCATTCTGCAAACACAGATCTGAAGATGGCAGACATTTGCATAGAAATGAGATTTCAGCTTCTTTATGCTTGTGGTATGTAATTTTATGTCAGTGATATATTACCGAGTCAAGAAAATCCCCAGGTTATAAAGGCAGATTTTGGTAATTAAAAAAAGAAAA